AAAAAAAATGTACTGAATTTTTTTTTTTTTTTTTACTTTATAGAAAAATATTTATATATATATTATTCAATTCATTTGAAAATTGTTTTTTTCTAAGAAACAAACTAAAATTCATAAATTTAGTATTTAATTTATTATTATTATTATTATTATTATTATTATTATTATTAGTTTTTTTTCTTTCCTGAGATATGTTAGATCCTTGGTTCGGTCGCGAAACGAGTTTGTCGATTTGAAAGGTAAAGTTTCAACATTTAAAAAAAAATTTGATTTAGTGTTTCACGGTCCATCCGTGGAAGATATTCTCAGTTAATAACAGTAAAGTAACAAGTATTCGATTTTTTTTTTTTTTTTATGGTATTTTTTTTTCTTTTTTTTTTTATTTATTTATAAAGTTAAAAAACTTTTGTGGGTTTTTATTTATATTAATTATTTTAATATTATTATTGCTCATGCTGCTTCGCTTTTTTTTTTTTTTTTTTTGGGTGGATTTTCACTTACGAAGTATTGTAGTATTCATTTAAGATCGAAACAGTTATTTAAAAAAATTTTAATATATATATATGTATACATTTAATGACTGTTTATAATTGAAAATTATCTTGTTATTATTAACTTTTATTTACTTAATTTAAAAAAATGTCATGTTTTTGTTGAATTATTAAGAAATTAAGGCATGATTATTTAAACTAAAACTAAAAAAAATTTTTATTTAAATTCTATAATTTACATATATGTATAATGATGACTAACCATTGCTTATTTTTTTTTTTTTTCGATAAAAAATTACATTTATCATTTAATGAAAATGATAATTTAAAAGGGTATTTAATTGTTTTATAGTTAATCAAAAATATTTAATGTTCGTTTCCATGTAATTTATTATTATGAGTATTATTAATACTTGGGTTTTAAAAAAATGTGTACAATTAAAAAAAAATTTTCTCGGTTTTAATGACTTTGTTAAATTTTTCAAGGATTCTAAAAGCAAAAAAGGGGTCGAAACGAGTCATTGCAACCTAGAAAATTACAGGCTGGCCGTTGTTGTTACGCGCGAGATTTCATTTTCCTTAACGTTTAAAGTGAAAGGACTTGGCAGGTTTTTCTTTCGTTATTTTTAATTTTCTTTCTCAACTGTTGACCTTTTTTTAAATATTATTAAATAGTTTAGTAGTTAATGATTTTTTTTTTTTTTTTTTTTTATTCAGGCTGTTTTAAGCATTCAATGTGAACAAGTTGTGTGTGTGCCAAATAATATGTTTCCCTACGGTCAGTCTGCTTCCCTAAATCCTCGGAATCTAACACGTTGATTAAATGCAAATCTAAGAAATCCTTGGTTTTATTTTTTCGTTGGGAAAAAGTATCTTTCTTTCAATTCCAATACAAAAAATTTTTTTTCTTCTTTTTTTTCATTCATTCAAATAACTTGTTATCTCGTTTTGTATATTGTTATTGTATATTTTTACCATCGTAACAAATAAATAATAAAAAAAAAATTGCTACTTTCTCCTGCTTTTTTTTTTCTTGTAACCACTAGAAAGTATTAAATATCGATTCGAAAATATAAAAATCGTGACCACTTTTACCTAGATTTATATATATATATATATATTTTTTTTTTTTTTATATGCTTAGCAAATCAGGTAGTTTAATATTTAATGATAAAAACTCGTGATAATATTCTTATCAATTATAAAAAAGGTTGAAATTAAATAAAAATATGTAAACACTAAAATCA